CAACAAAGCAAACCTATCTCGACAAGTATCCCAAGCCAACAGCCTTGCGCTTCCAGAATCAACAACTGACCAATCGCTGACCTTGTAGATAGAGAAGTAAGGAATATCAGGCCATACAATTGCTAGATACCTGCAAAATTAACAGTTCAAAACCTTGTAAAACCGTCCGGTACAACCTTAAAAAGCATTAGTGAAGTAATGGATGAGGCTTCTAACAATATGAGGCAATAATACAAATCAAGATAATGTTAAAGATACTAGATGCCACCTACTACACTAAGCCTGATAGAGAGATTGAGTATCACTAGTGTCTGTGAATTACTTACTTCCCAGAACTGCTGACAGAAAGAACTGAGTATGAATCATGTGGAGCTGGAGTAGTAATATGCTTTTTGGTTTGTTTGACGTGAAGTTGTTCAGGTATCTCTCCTCTGAACCTTCCTGTGTCACTCAAAGAGCCATTACTTCCAAGTGCTGGAGGAGTGGTGTTAGATAACTGAAATTGCAACAGCTTCAATTCCCTTTCAACTACATAAACAGCAGTATGTTCACGACTTCCTGTTGGTGTTGGCAGTGCTACTACGGGAGGAAGAGACTTCTGATCAAATTCACACAGAATAATGCCAATATTGGTTCCAGTAGCTACAAGGTGTGGCTGTAAAGGGTGTGTAACCATAGAATAAACCTAAAAGACCAGAGAGAAGAACATAAAAAAATGTAGTCAAGTCATCTTCAAAAAGTCAAAAAATTAGATGCCTCCCAATGTAGAAATTTAACCCTATATGATATGATGGAGTGCGTAAACAATCCTCATAATTATCTAGTAGAAGAAACTAGGGGAAATTCTTCTTACAAAAAAGCAACTACTATAAAAATCACTTTCCAGACTTGATACGCGAAGGCTTTGCTCGTATTAAAACACAAAATTCATATTAGTTATTCATTTTTCCAGCCATCATAATGTAGATTTAACACTTTTTTTTTGATGAAATAAGTTGTATTTCATTAATAAGAAGCATCCAGGGATGCATAGGTTACAAAAAGAAGGGAAATATCAACCCAATGACAAAGAAACTATTGTAAGACTAAGGCGCTGATAAATTCCAAAAAAGAGTCAGGGTTATATACAGGTGTAAAATTAACCCAACTAAAAAGATTATCCAAACATTTGGCCTTGAGTGTATGGTTGGCAGTTGAAATGCCATCAAAACATCTTTGATTCCTTTCTGTCTATATCAATCTTCCTAAATCTAAGAAGTTGCATAAGGAAAAATAGGTCGGAATTGAAAGACAAGATATACAGCAAGGAAAACATTAAGATAAACAACGTTATTTATCTGTAGTAGTTTCACCTTCAGCTTCTTGTGAGAGGCAAGTAATTGTGGAGGAACTAGTGCAGAAAGTTCACACAATGGCCTCGTAAGAGCAGAATAGGTAGGATGCTCGATAGCCCTGCAAAGTTGCAACAGAATATCATATTTTGCCCAAAGAGGGAAAACTTTAAGCAGTGTTAATAATGTTCCAACCAAGGGAGGTGTGTGAAGTATGCCTACCATATATGGGAATCTTTGACACAAGTCAAGATATCGAGGTTGGGAGCCCGTGGGTGGCACCACGACGCTACACTGTGACAAGCTAGTTTTGGAACAGGTTTTATTCGACGCAGTTCCTACAATTGGGTTGAAATTTTGTTAACATAAATATATCCCCTATGTAGTAAAGCTACAAATCAAAGAGATCTTATACAATACCTTAAAGGAGACGGTGTCCCAGATAGCTAATGTTTTATCAGCACCAATAGTAATGAGCTGTGGTGCATTACCAATCACTCTAGAGAGCTCTACAGCAACAACCCCACCATCATGAGCCTATAAAGTATAACAATGGAAGCTGAAGAAAAGCTTCAAGGATTTGATAGAAGCAGATAAGGACTTGCAGTTCAATCAGCTTCATCTATCAGTGATTTTCCAGATGCATTCCATGTTCTCATTTTTTGCTTTTAGCAGCGGCAAATGAAATTCTTACTTGTGTGAATTATTAAGTTGCAATAGAAATTTAAAAGGAAAAAAAAATAAAGGAATAAGAAGATACTTTTAAGCTGAGCTTAGGAACAAGCTCTCTCGAATCAAGAGCATTGTCTGCACTCCAAAGTACAAGCAATCCGTCACTACCACCAGAAACTAGAAGAGACTGTACACACGATAACAAAGATAATGGCAATTAGAAGTCAAACAGAAAAAAATATTAAAAGTATAACAGTTTCTGACAGGTGAACCTAGTCATTCTTTTTGGTAAATTATATAAGAACAGAGAATTATCACTTTCAGCAGTTCTGTTTACAGTAACAAATCTCAGAGTAAAATGTCCATGTTCTTCATTACAACTACAACAATTCATTTTTTTTATGGAACTTCAATTTCTTTTGCTCAGTTTACATGTTGAGAAAGGGAAACACAAGGACATTCAGATTGGGAATGGATGGACAGCAAGCATATGTACTTCTGTAATCCAGTTTCATTTAACAATGCATAACTACAAAGTGAACAAGGTACAAAGCCATGCAAGCCAAGAACCTCAGATAGATGTTTCCCTTTTCCCCCTTACTTCTCTCTAACAGAGAAACCAACATTGACCTAGCAAATTATCTGCTTCACTTAAGATTATATTCTATCTGAGAGTAAATGAACTACTAAGGCAAGAAATACTTCAGAAGAACCAAAGTCCACCTTCATTGATTGTGTGAACCACCACATCTAAAAGTTTAAGTTGTTAGAGAGAGGACACCAGTCTTTAAGTTGAAAAACATCTACATTGTAGGCTGAAAATTCTCTTTAAGCTCTCTGTGTTTAATCATAAAAACTGGAAAACATACTTCGCAAAATCAAGATCTATTAGTATTATTTTCCGAGGCTCTGACAAGCCTTTGAAGTCTAAATGAGAGATGTGATTCACAATCTTTTCTGGCTGATTCCTCTGGACACAGAGTATCTATGCAAACAAATTGCAGGTTTAACTTATATAAAAGCTGCAAACGATGCACCATATCTTGGCCTCATATGGTACCATCTCTTTCTACAAAATGTATCTCACCTTAAGAGAGAAAAGGAAAATGTTTAAGCACATCAAAAAAGGAAACCAGCTTAACCAAAACTTGCTGCTTCCAGGCAGCAGCACTAACCCGTTTGGCCATAGACATTATTTCAAATATTTGAGGTAAATGTTTGTTTTACAATCTGGTCCACTATTTCAACTTCAAACTTGAAATAGAAAACTTTAAGGTTGAAAAACAGGTTTGAGAGTATTTCAAGCTTCCACTCACAAACTTCAACTTTTTCTCCAAGTGAAATTCATGTCTTTTTCAACTTCAAATTCAAATACTCTTTTTTTTCAAACTTTAACCAAATCATGTCCAAACGCCTTAGCCAAGTATAAATCATGGAGACATTTTTGAAACACAGCCCATCTCTAGAATTATAAATGGAGACACTAGGTTTTGGATCAAAAATTTCAAGTCCACTACGTAGTGTAAGGTGATAAAAGGGATCTAAGCATCCACTGGAAGCATAACATGTACCTCGCCAGAAGCAGCCATGAAATTCATCAAGCAAGAAATTGCTCCCTTATGACCTCCTGTGTATCTTCGTGCAAGCTGCAGAAAAAGTCTTATTCATCTACTCGTTTTGACAATGAATGGAGCAAATATCAGAAAGACTTTACAAGCCAAATATTCTAAAATGAGACCTTCCATGTTATCATTGAAAGAACTCTAATTACACCATCCGACCCTCCAAAAGCCACAAGAGGGCCATCAGCAGTAGCTGCTTTAGAGAGGAACACCATACTGCAAGAGATTCAAAAGAACAAGTAAATTAAGACAATCAGATATGATTTCCAACTTCCCATGACCCAGAAAACAACTTTTGCCATCATGAAGACTAAACACCATTATGACAAAGAAGTATTATTTTAGCTCAAACCAAAAAGCAAATAAACTCTATCATTGATATAATTAGTCATCTTTATTAGCAATCTTGGCTTCTTAGCAGTTCTAACATCTGGTCTATCATTCAACTGGGAACTCGACCATTTTCAACCAATTCAACAACCCCTGGACATCCAGCCATATATTTTCAAATTTGAAGTCATTCTTCAACTACGTGTTCCAACAAAATTGGGAAATGATCTGAGATGGTTCTGGGAAGAACTCTCTAGTTCATGTACTTGAATGTCTCGTCCCAGTCATCGTTGATAAAAAAATCTATCAATTCTTGAAGCTCTATTGTCAGAATTGTCTCTAAACCAAGTAAATTGGCCCAATGAAGAGGCAAATCAACTAAAGACAGGTCTGGTATCATCTCAGCAAACTCTTTAAACTATTCTATAGATTTGGTAAATTTAACATCAAAAATCACTACCGATCACCCATGAACAATCCCAAAGCCCTCTTTATGCAGAGTGCTCTTCCCATGAATTTTTTTCCTGTCTTTCCTTGTAGCAGGTCCATACACCGCAGTAAAACCCAGTTTACATCATGTTCACCCCCTTTGGTCGCACTGTGATTGTGTGACAAATCATGGATATATAATTTAGTTATCTCCATTATCATCTCTAAAGGTTCCTTCCAACTCACGATTTCGTAATCCCATTTAGCTTAAACATAAAGAAGTGTTGAAGATGTAGCTGCCTAATTCGACTTAGATCTAGTTAAACTGAATAATCTTTCTCGCTTTCAATTTCCCAACCGTTGTTGAGATTTTTCCCCACCTCAACGTATAAAGTCTAGTGGAGAGGAAGGAAAAGTGGCAACTTTAGCTGGTTAGCAATTTTGGGGCTTTATTTAACTCGAGAAAATTTAACAAAAAGAGGTATTGCAATCTGAAACAGGTACTACTTATGCTTGACAGAGAATGAGAACATAGACCATTTAGTTTTGCATTGTCCTGTAACAAAGAACATCTGAGACACGTTTTCTGCATTTTGGTAGTACAATGGGTACTACCAGGGAGGCTGAAGGAAGCATTTATTAGCTGGGGAAAATGGAGACTTGGGAAATCCATCAGAAATACATGGCAAATGGTTCCATCTTGTTGCATTGGAGCATTTGGAAAGAGGAATCTGAGGTGTTTTGATGGAGTCTCAACTCCAATACATGTATCGAAGACTAGACGCTTATTGAATCTCTTTGCTTGGTGTAATAATTGTAATGTAAATACTGCTCTTATGCTTTTGGACTTTTGTAAGCTCCTTGAATTTTAGATAGGAGTGTACAGGAGCTCCCTGTTTTTGTATTGCTTTTGCATCCTTCAGATGCTGGCCAATGAAATTCTACTTTTGCCAGATTAAAAAAGAGTCTAGTGGAGAGGAAGGAAATGAAGAGTGGTTGCTTTAATGAGTAAAAAAGTAAGAAATAGCAAGCACGTTTAGTGAAGTGTTGATTAAGTGCAACAAACTTGAGATGCTCTAACTTGGCTGGTAGTTGGCAATGCTGATTCTATCAAATACTGGCATAAGAAATTTACTAATTTCCTAGGGAAATGGTAGTCTTAAAAAATAGTTGCAGCAAGATAGTTTAGCTTTTAGGTAGATTCAAAAAGATTTAATTCGTGAACAACCATAAAAATCCGAAAAACTGGATAACACAAAAAAGAAATTGATGGATTTAAGACTTGCCATAGAAGTGATTTGTTGTCAAGCTCCTGCTTTGGTACATCACGGCCACGCATCGTCACCAGGTCTAAGAAGATAGCTTTGTTCTCACAACAGATGACAAGAAAATGGCGCCCTTTGGTTGATGGAGCAGGAGAAGTAAAAGTTGAAGTGACATGAGCTGGAGACTCGGCAGCAGCGGACTGATTATGCCAGAGTTGCCAAAATCGTACATCATCATCATAAAAGCTAACCTGCTTTACACTTGAACCATGCACCAGAATTGCATACTAAAGATTCAAAGTTGAAGTGATGGCATCCGAAGATTCAACAAAGACACTAAAGAAGCTGAAACAATATTTAAGTCCAAGGTAAGGATCAATTACCTCCCACCTCGTATGGCTTCTGTAGGTTTCCCTCTAGGCTCTGCATACAACATTGACATATCAATCCAAATTCTACCTATGTGAGCTTAGCATCTTATGTTAGCACACATTGCCAGTCCCAAGCCCGAATAAAGGAGGAGAGTTAACATAAGCTAACCGCAAGTAAAATATTAGTCAATTTAAGATGATTCGTATTCCCGATCCCAACTAGTCTAAGTCTCTGGATTGAGTCATATGCAGGGGTGGAGCTAGAATGCGGACTACGAGTTTGGCCCAACCCAATAGTAGCTTTGGTCCAAAGTATTTATCTTAAGAAATTTCGAATATGTATAAAATATCAACTTAGAACTCATTAACTTAAACAGATTAGAATCCGAACTTATAAGCTTCAAATCTTGGCTCTACCCTGAGCATAGCAATAGATGTTGCTATTGTTACTGACATGCCAATTTAACAATAACTAACATAATTAATAAGCACCTGATTCCCCCTCGGCAAGCTTCTCCAGTTTGGCACCAACCAAACGCCGTTCATCAACACCACCAGGTTTCAGTTCATAAATAATCTGGCAATTTAGCTATTTCCTATTAGTCAATTTCACAAACAGAAAAGCAAAAATCAGCGAAAAAAATTTCAAACCTGGCGGTGGTCCCAATTCCAAACGGAGACGTGATCGGATGCATCAGCAGTAACGAGCCAAGGATGCGTCGGATGCATATGAATCTTCACGATTCTGTCATTTGTCGGACGAATTGCCCTTAGCCGCAGCATATTTAATCAACAGTTCCCGGAAAATGCAAGCAGCTAAGGAATGGATCTGACTGTAACTACATGTATTGAGTTTTTTCCGATGACTTGTCAATTTCCGATGATTTTGATAGATCTTTTCCGGTGGTGCTTGTAGTATTTAGCCGGTTCAGTGAAAATTGTTGTAATTAATATGGGTTTAGAAACTTCGGATTAATTTAAAGACAATTGCTTCATAGTTCAAATTAAGAACATGTTTTTTGGAGGTTAAATACATTTCTATTGCAGCTAACTTTTTAAAGTTAGAATGTTACTCACTTTCTAATCTTCTCCTTTGTAAGTTTTGCTATATAATCTTTTTAACTAACATTTTTAAATTAGAATCTTTTATAACCATACAAATACTTTGCACCCTTTTTGATTTGTTTAGAATCGCAAATTTCAAAAATTTTATTTTTTTCTTAAACTTCATACCCAGTTTATTCACATAAATTGAAACGGATGGAGTATTATTTTTGTAATAGATTTGCTTTGTTATGTATATTTGTAGGAGTTAGGTTAGCAACAACATCCTCGAATTTTCTTTGAGCTGCGGTTTTTTTCTTATGAGGAAATATCCACTTTAACCAGGATTTTGTAGGACTAATTGAAATCAAACTTATTGTGTGTGAGATTGGTTCCTACTCGTACAAAGTGCCACTAAATTATAAGTCTTAGTCATCCAAGTGTAATGAGAAGGGAAAGTAAAAATTAACTTCAACTTGAAAATACTACTAAAAAAACTTTTACATGTAGAAGATGATTTCAATGTTTAGAACATATCAAGGTGAAACTCAAAAACGTCATATCATAAATTTTTCTTCGAATTTTAACGAATTATATAGGTGAAAATATAATTAAAAACGACTGGAAAAGGCAAAGAAATGCCTCACCCGTTTTGAAGAACAAATCAGATATATTTAAAAGTTATGAGAAAAAGTAATAATGAAAAATAAATATGAAGCATTTGAAATGTAAAATCGTTATAAATTTGAATTGAAAATACGGATCAAAAGAGAATCAAACAACTTCAGATCTAGTGATCAAAAGAGATCATATTTTCAATCGCAAAAAAAATATTTTTCTATTACGCCTAAGGTTGACGAGTGGAGTTATGTAATATTTGTACGGGCAAGAGAATACAATGTACGATAATTATTCAACTATTTGTTCAATGCCAGTAATGTGTTTGGAGAAAAAACGATATCAAGATCATTTTTTGAACTACTTTGAAGGCACAATGTTTGATAATCACGACAAAAAAATCAATTTCTTATAAAAGACAATCTAATACAGGGAATGTTAAGAGCTCAAATATTAGATCTTAACCTCTCTAAATATAACGCAGGTCTTCGAATTTGGGGTTACGAAGTTGGCAGGCACGAGCTCAAAAAATGCAAGCAAAATCAGATATTGAAGACTGATAACGTTGTCCCGAAGGGACAGCCAGTTGGTTTGGAGGGGACGGGAGTTCGATCTACCCTCAATGCCTTCTGAGTTTGAGCGTGTGTGTTTGCCTAGTGCGGCTTACATCATATGTGTGGTTTGCAGGTTATTACACAGTGAGGGTTTACCTAATGCGCACAGAGTACTCACTACAGAGTGCTATACCGAAGGGCATTCGACGACTGATAACGTTACGTACCTGTGTAGTTTGCAGGCTATTATATAATGGGGGATTTACCCAATACGCACAGAATGCTCACTAAAGAGTACTCACCCGAATGACAAGAGGTTGTGACAGAGGCTGTAGCGACTACGAGTTTTACTGGGGTTCCAAAAAAAAAGACGACCCATAACGTTAAGTATGTGTGAGTTGAAGTCTTCAGTCCAAAATGGAAGGAAGTCAAATTTCCTAATTAGTGAAAAATATATTTATTTTCTGACAACTAAATATCAGAAAATACACTGAACACGATAAAGTAAGCCAACGTGGCAGGATAAGTCCAAAATTGTGGAGCATTATTACAGTACATGTTTTTATCAGTTAACAACGTCGCTAACTTGCAGTATTTTCGATATTCAAAATTTTCTCTTTATTAATCAGCTTGAATTATAATAAGTTATTCTTTAAGAATATGAATTTATCTCTCTTTTTTCTCCTTTAATTTTCTTTTGAAATTCAAAGCATCATTTTGCTTGGTGACATATTTTCCCCTAGGAGCTTCAAAATTTTGAGTTTACCTTTTCATTCTTTTCGTAAGTGGTATAATTCCCTTTAACTAGTAAATTTATGTACAATTTCTATTTTGGTTATAGGCCATTGCTGCAAACGTAGTTGTTTTATGTCTTGGGATAGGATGTAATATGTAATATAGTCGAATTTAAGATTTACGGTTAGTATGTCATAACTCAAATATATAGAGTTCGTAATTAACATTCTACTCATTTTCGCAATACATGGTTCAAGTGCAGGAACTTAAATATGCTTGAGGAGGTCTAACCGTATTAATTAAATATGCTTGAGTAGGTCTGACCGTGTTAAATTAAATTAAATGATTCTTTTATTAACTTTTTTGTTTTGGATCATTTATAATTAAGTTGCTACTAATTTCAACGAGAATATTAACAGTAGATTATTAGATGTACTAATGATTTAAGTCTGGGTTTTACATGTGAATTAAACAATCAAACGAGGCAATTCAAAATTTGAAAATACATTAAAGAATTTTAAAATTGAAATATAAACTCGAAGGTCGTATATAGGAGTAGAACTCATACGAATAAACGAGGCACTAACTGGGTCAATTATCTTGCACGAGAATGAATCATGTCATTATTCCTAATTTCATTTTTATTGACTGATTTTGCTATTAAGGTATCGGGCATTTGCACAAATGGCCTTTTATGAGGCTACTATTTAAATTATTTATGTGTTCGTCCCAGTATTAAATTTATTGTACAAAGAAGTAAAGAACAACTCATCCAACTACGTTTAAAAACGAAATTTGGCCAACTGAACTGATGAGTCAGAATTTAAATGGTGGCCTCAAGAAAGGTCATATGGTGCAAATAATCCTTAAGGTATCTTTCAATAATGACTCAAACATTATTTGGAGTTAAATTTATTGGATATAAGTCCAAATAAACTCTTCAATCAATATATTCACTACCTAAACCTAGTAATTGAATTTGTTTTTTACGAAATTATTTTTTGTTGTAAAGAATATATATAAATCTTGAATCCTCTTGACACAAAAAAAGCTGTTATTGTAATGACAAAGGTGGTTTAAACGTTGTTTTAAGCTGTAGGTTTCAATCCGATGTAGCATTCTTACATTTTTGCATTCTTACATTTTCTAAAATCCCCTTGCGAGAATTCATGATTCTGCCATTGCCTAAACCACTCAAAATTTGAGGAATTGGATAATTTCACCGAGTTAAATGTGACATCAAACCCAAGTAACTGAATGTAACATGTGAAAAATTAACTAACGTATTCAGTATTATTACTTAACAATATTTATAGCTGTCAAAGAGGACTCGTAGGTGTTCTTCTTTAGTTAGCAAGTTATGTACTTAGTTTTTTCTGTGTTGTTGGAGGCCTTGATACTCATAATACCTTCCTGGAAGGTGGTTGTGAGGTTGAGGTTGTTGGCCCAAGTGAAGGCTAGTTTTGAAGATTGACAAAGGAAGCTCAGGCATAAACCAGGTTCATCCCTTGTGTGCATAGACATAGGCAGATTTGAGCATGTGGGATGCACGTGAAGGAGATAAGCTTAACTTGGTCTAATTAATATCTCCTGATCGAAAAGGGTTGCATAATTGATAAGGAGAAGGACTCCTTAATCAAAGAGAACACTATCCAAGATAAGGGAGGAGTTAGAGGTTGAGATCAACTAGAACTCTTCCACCAAGGAAGAGTAGCATTAGAACTCTAGTTATTTTCTACTCTACTAACTCTATAAATCGCAGGATGTTCTCATTCTACAAGGAACGCACAAAAGCAGAAGTTAAACGTGAATTGAGAGCAAAATAGCAAGGCATTTTGCAAGCAGTTCGTGTGTGATTCAAGTGTGCGAACCTGAAGCTACATGAACCAGATAGAAGAATCAGTTCCAAGTGTCTGTCTTTTATTCTAGTTCAATTGTACTAGATATTTTCATAGTGTACCTTTCAGCTTTATTTAGAGGCAATTGTAATAGGTACTCGGAGTATTCAAGTTAGAGTTAACTTGAAGTTGCCGCAGCAGTTAGAGGCTGGTTGCCACAACGGGATTAGAGTTAATCCTAGGTTTACAAAAGTATTTTGTAAATGCAGTTTTTGGCTCAGTGATTTAGTGAAGAGTTTTGGGAAAATCCTACTAGGAAGTAGGTCGTGGTTTTTTCGCCTTTTGAGCCAGGTGTTTTCTACGTAAAATCCTTGTGTTCTTTAATTTCTGTATTTATTATTCCGCAATAGTAGTATAAAGAACACATAAAAGAACCAGGTCCTTCTATAATCTGTGCACGCAAAAAATTGGACACCATATAAATCACCCCCCTCTTATGTGGTATTGAAGTTAAAATATCAATTGGTATCAGAGCGGGTTATCCTTGAAGAGTCTAATACCTTAGGAGAAGATCAAGATGAGTGCACCACCTGAAAACTGGAAAGGGCAATCCACTGCTAGGCCACCACTCTTCAACGACCAATATTACTCTTGGTGGAAAAATAGGATGAGAGATCACATCATAGGAGAAGACTATGAGCTATGGGACATTGTCATAGATGGTCCACTGGCTACCATGAAGATAAATGCCGAAGGAGAAGAGGTGCCAAAAACAAGAGCTGACCGTACTGCCGATGACTTGAGGAGATGGGAGAAAAATGCTAAAGCCAAGAAATGGCTTGTTTGTGGACTCGGTCCAGATGAGTACAGTAGAATCCAAAGTTGTACCACTGCTAAGAAAATCTGGGATACTTTGCAAGTGGGCCATGAAGGAACACCTTAAGTGAAGAGGTCCAGAGGAACACTACTATATTCTTAATATGAGAATTTCACTATGAAGGAAGGGGAAACCATCCAAGATATGTATACAAGGTTCACCACACTCACAAATAAAAGTTTCTTGGAAGGATTATTTCTGAAAAAGACAGAGTTGAGAAGATTTTGACAAGGGTTCTGCTAGTTACTTGGGAGAACAAAATCACTGCCATTCAAGAATCAAAGAACATTGCCACTCTTAAGTTGGATGAGCTAATTGGAAATCTCACTGCTTATGAACTTAGAAGGCAAACCATGAAGATGGATGTACCCAAGAAGGAAAGGAGCC